TACCATGTCCACATGGGGAACTTGCACACCAGAAAGTCACCTGCAGCAACTTATCTATTGCTCATGAGTAAATGACTCAGATGTAGATGATCACGCACACACCAAGTGTAATATGGCCGTGTTCTTCGAATTTGCTCTATTTGAGAACCTAGGTGGGTGATTGGTGACTGGTGATGGGTGAGATGATGGGTCACAGATAATGGGCTCATTGGGCTTAGGTTATTGTGCATGTCAAAGAGGCTGGACTGGATTGGTATGTATGGTTAAGTTGGTTGGAGATGAACAAGGTGGTTTGTGGGCTTACTTGGAGAGCTTGCATGGAGGTTGGATTGAGGGAGAGCTGTTTTGCAGAGAACCTTCTCAAACAGCTGCATGGTGCCAAAGTAGAGGTTGAAATCTCAACGGCAGACACAAGCAAACATCACAGGGCTCACCACAAACATAAAACTTCAATACAAAGGTGCAATGATCAAGCTCAAGTCCTGCTCAAGGCCTACTCACAGGCCACCACTCTAGAAACACACACAAGTGTTCGTACACAACCAGTATGTCAGTATAAACCAGTACTTTATAGTGCCCCTCCCATTCCTGCAGGAATCTGCAGGATTCCACAGGAATGGGACCAGAATCCACAGGAATCCACAGGAATTCCACTGGAATAGGACTGGAATGAAGCAGAGTAAGGTTGAAAAACCATGTAAATTTACTGATCAGCTTTTCATCATGTGACTACATCTGTATTTGTCCAACTCCAACCTTATCCTGATAACTTAGTACTCAAAATCCCTTATAGAACCCATATCTCAAGCAATAGATTCATAGGTCAAATTATAATGTATTTAATAAGGACATGAAATGTATTTTACTACATACAATCTATATTAAAGCAGGGGGTAGGGACAAGGAGGGGGGTAGGGACAATGAAGAGGCAAGGGACATGGCAATGGAGAAGGAAAGGGGTGGGGACAAGAGAAGGGGGTAGAGACACAGAGGGAGTGATGGGGAGAGTGTGTCGCATGTCATTGTCCTCGTGTCATCATTGTGTTGTCATTGTTGTGTGTCGTTGTTGCATTGTCGTCGTCGCATGTTGTACATGGGCGCTGGGTGTTGCATGTCATTGACCTCATGTGTGGGCACTGGGTGTTGTTCCATGGGCGCTGGGGTGTTTTCGTGGGCGGGGTGTGGTTTTCGTGGCCACTAGGGCGTTTTCATGGGCACTGGGGAGTTTCCAGAGGTAGTGGCAGCTGCAAAGCGAGGAGTGGGGGGTGAGGGGGTTTGCCACGTCAACAGGGCACCTGAATAGTGAGCAGTGGGGGGTGGAGGGACCTGTTACTCACTTGGGTGGCTCAAAACAACCCGATGGTGATGACATACCAATCGTCACTGTCAGATGACGCAAATACACGTCGTCTGACCTTTGTTGCTGCATTCGGGTGGTTGTCATGGTGGGCGGTCGTGAATCGTGGTGGGCGCTGGTCGCCATTGGTTGATGGTGGTGCTCTGGTGGTGCCACGCCATTGTGGTGGTGGGTGTTTGAGGATGGTGGTGGTGCCATGTCGCTGGCAGTGGTCGTTACCATTCGTTGGTGGTGTGTCATGGCCGTTGTTGGGTCATGTTGCATCATGTGGTGTCGCCGTGTCAATGTGTG